CTACAACTTGTTTTTCAAAGTTCACAATGATTTGATGGTAGTTGATGATGTAGTTTGGGAATTGGTTAAGGCAGTAAACTGAAAGAATGTGAATGGAAAATACTAGATTTATTGTCATAATATTTTACCATTTATGTATGTAGTATGTATGTATGTATATCTGCTATAGGGCATATGTGCTTGCCAGAAAGAGACAGAGAAAGAGAATGAGAGGGAAGGTGAGAAAGTACTCCCACAGGGGAGCTAGCCATGCCACAGTTCCTTCTCTTCTATTCTCTTCTTGGGATTTTGAGCATTTACACACATGTCCCTAGCAGGATTTTCAAACCATTAGGTCTGGGACTTTAACCACGATGTTGGCCATGTGGGATCCTATTGCCTTAACCTTCTCACCACCTGCTGGCCCTACAATTTTACTTTTGATTATAATTAATATTCATTAAGTTCCAACTATGTGTTAGCTATTATACTAGGTACCTGCTATTACTACTTTTATGTTTTTTTTTTTTTTTTTTTCTCCTTCAGGGGAAAGTTAAACCATGTGTTAATGGTACACCACCTGCATATTCAAGGGAAGAGTTGAAACTATGGGAAAAATCACCGGTACTTAAAATATCTGCTCCACAGCCCATTCCAAGTCACAGAATAGACACTACAAGCTCTTCCAGTTGGGTTTCTGGCTCTTTCAGGTAGGATTTTTATTTTGTTTTATACCTCTTGGTCTGAGAAATATTAAATATTTAATTAATTTTTAGTCAAATGAACATTTTTAATAAAGCACTTTTTAGAAAATGTTAATGTAAATTTCTCTCACACAGAAAATAAATGAAGTGCATTCAAATTGCTAACCAACTATAATAGGCTATTTTTTTCCCAAGGCAAAATTTAGTTGTTTTTGTATTAGAATAGTAATACATGCACACATACACATACACATACAAACATAAATATATAACAGACTTAATATTAGCAGGTTTTTCCTGGATAATATACTATAGTTAAAACTCCTACTTAACAGGAACAGTTTTTTGTTTGTTTTTTGTAGGTTTACTTTATCATCAAGGGGTATTTAAAACCCTGTAAAATGTATTATTATTCATAGTTAATTATCAGGATATTTTAAAGCTACTGTACTGTCCTTTTAACTTGTTTAAATATTTTTCTTTTATTTAAAAAAGTCAAATGGAGCAATAGGTATTATTAGAATGCAGTGTTTATTCTTTCAAAGTGCTTATCTAGCTGTGCTTCATCTTTATACTGTGGTTAATAGCAGGCTAAAACTGTTAATTGACTCACTGATTAAACAGTCATCTGGACCATTTGTGTAATTCTTTTGAAATGTTCTAGGGCAACTGGTAGGATAGTGGTTAAGGAGGCTGGATCACACATGGCCAACTGTGTGGTTCAAGTCCCTGACCCAGAAGTTTTGAAAAACATTCTGGGCACATATGCATGTGTGCCCAAAATCCTGAGAGAATATTAGAAGAGAAGGTATTGCATCATGGCCATCCACCCTTAGGGGTTCTTTCTCTCTCCCTCTCTCTCGTGAGTGCATGTGTCCTAATAGCAAATTAAAAAAAAAAAAAGAAAGATGGTATATTTTCACAGTTGTAACCAAGATTATGTTTCAGGTTAAGTTGCTTCAGGGTCTAAGGCAGTTAAAAAAATTAATCTCCAATTTTTTGCTTTTCTAAGTAAACAAAGCAAAGTATGCATAATTTGTGGAGATTACCTAGAAGTATCTTCTAGTTGCTAATGTTAGACTATTTTGTTTAACATGTTTTAATAATAGCTTCATATAAAACTGTCAGTATAAGTTGGCTGTCTATTCAGGACAATGCCTGTTGACAAAATGCTGAATAATATGTGGTAAGCATTCTCAGTATTAACATATAGACTGTCTTAGTTTGTCACTGCTCCCAGAATACCTGAGACTGGTTGACTATAAAGAATAGAGGTTTATTTGACTCATAGTTCCAGCGGCCGGAACGTCCAATGGTGTGTAGTTGTCATCCAGCCAGCCTGTGCCACATTATGCTAACAGAGCAGACTGGTTGGCAGGCCAGTGCAGAGAGAGCTGCAGATAGTTTCCTTTTTATCAGCTTGCTCTCACAAGGAGTAACCCCTTCTCATAAGGTTGTAATTTACTTAGTCTCTCAAGAGACAACATTAGTCCTTTTAAGAGGCTAGAACCTCCACGATCCAGTCATCATGATTCAGTGATGATCCACTAGAACCGAATTCCAAAACGTGAACTTTAGGGAACAAACCATTATCCAAACCATGTTATTTCACTCCTGGCTCCCAGAGTTCATGTCTTTTTTACATATAAAATAAAATCATCTTCTTATAGTAGTCTCAAAAGTCTTAATTTGTTCCAATACCTGCTCAAAAGTCCAAAATCTCCCTTGAAATTTAAAGCAAACTCCTCCTAGCTGTGAACTTGTGAAGCAGAAACAGATAACATACTCTTAAAATACAAGGGTGGAGTAGGCATAGGATAGAAATTTTTATTGTGCAGGAAGAAGGGCGTAACAGGCCCTAAGCAAGTCCAAAACTCAAGTGGTCAGACATTTCTTAAAGCTTGAAGCTATCTCTTTTGACTTTATATTCCATATCTTCTGGTTGAGGTTGGGCTTCCAAGGCCCTGGGCAGCCCTGTCCCATGCTTTTGCTGGTCAAAGCCCATGTGGCTGCTTGTATTTCGAGTCTAGTGCCTGTGGCTTTCACAAGTGGGCTCTGCTGCAGCTTCCACTAGGCTTGGCACTAACTAGAAACTCTCTCTGGTAGCTCTGCCCCTGTGGATGGTCTCTGTCTGTACTCCCAGGCTTTAGCGTGTACCCTTTGAAATCTAGAAGGAGGCTGTCACACTCTCACAGCTTCTACAGAATTAACACCATGTGTGGCCTATAACCTACATCCTCTGGATTGGCATCTCAGGCTATACTTGGGGCTGCTTGAGTCACAGCTGGAGCAACTGAGTATTGCACCCAGGTGCAGGGAGCATAAGGTTGCACAGGGCACCAATCCCCTTCCTAGGCCCTTTCCTGGGAACCACTTTGTATTCTTACATCTCTGAATTTGTGGTGGATGGAGCAGTTCTGAAGAGATCTGAAATACTTTGGAAGCATTTCTCTTATCATTCTGCTCTTTAGCCTTTTGATCTTCTATTAGCACTATTCTCTTTCACAGTCTGTAGCATAGCCATGTTCAGATTACTATTATTATTATGCTCGTTATTTTTTTAAACATTCAATCAATATAGATTATTTAGCTTCTAAAAAGAATTTACCCAACATGAAATACATCTCAGACCAGTACAGTTGAGTATACTGTACATGTTATCATCAACAGGTGATAGAACATTTCTGTGTTTCACTGATGTCATGCCTCTTTATTGTTCTCTTGTTATCCTTCTCTGTACTTTTCCATTCTCCCACCACGTTCCACACTGTCTTCAGCATCCATAACTATTTTCACTGCTTTTATGCCCTCTAGTATTTTGATCTCTACCATAAAGTATGATAGTCAGTGTATATTAAGTGGATACATACAATATCTTTCATATCCTGGCTTGCTTCATTTAGCAATAGATCTTCCACATTTGACCACTTTCTATCATATGCCAGGGTCTTCTTGTTTTATATGGCTGAATACTATCCCACAGAGTATATGCATCACACTTTTACTGTCCATTCATCTGTTTTTGGACATTTGAGTTGGTTCTATGTCTTAGCGATTGTGAATAATGCTACAATAAACATTGATGTGCAAGTGCTTTTCCAACTGAGCATTCTCCTGTCCTTTGGGTAGATACTCAGAAGTGGGACTGCTGGATCAAATGGTAGTTCTATATGTAGATCTTTAAGGAACCTCTATATTATTTTCCACAGTGGCTGAAGGGTTCCAATTATTTTTCTAAATAGTTCTTTTTGTGGGGGGGAGGTTTTTGTTATAGGGCATGTGCGCTTGCCAGAAAAACAGAGAGAGACAGAGAGAAATCACCCTCCGGGGTGATGGCCATGCCACAAACCCTTCTCCTCCATTCTCCTCTCGGGATTTTGGGCACACAAGCACACATGTCTGGCGTGAGTTTAAGCCACTGGGTCCAGGACTTGAACTGCAGTGTACTACATGGGAGTCCAACGACAGCCATTACACTAACTGCTGGTCCCTCTAAATAGTTCCTACGAGCCTCTCATCAGTATCTAGCCTTTGTCTAGACAGCTACTCTAGACTTTTTAAATCCCACCCCGTTACCCATTTCCAAAGCCTTTTCCACCTTTTTAGACATATATAACAACACAGTCCTACTTACCTTCATCAACTTCTGTCTTAGTCCATTATTGTGTTGCTAACAGAAATACCTAAGGCTGGATGGTTTATAAACAGTTCTTTTACTCATGAGTCTACTGCCTGAAAGGTCCATTGTGGTAAGCCTAGCATTAGGCCACTCTACTACCTCACAAGGAGAAGCTGAAAGAGTGGAACAACTGCAGGCTGCTCTCTCTCTGCTCTGGTAAGAACTAACCCCCAGAGCTCATTCGGTTTCTCATGAGACAACCCCAGTCCATTTTTGAGGTCAGTATCTTCATGGTACAAAAACTGATCAAATCACTATCTACAAGGACCAAATTTCAAAACCTAAACATTTGGGAGACAGACCATTATCTATACTGTAACACTCCACCTAGCTTTTATAAAGTGCTTAAATATGTGGTGAGAATTCTCAATATTAACATATACACAAATATTTCTACAATCAATCTGAAGTATTGGCTAATGGGAATAATAAGTACAATTTATTTTAATGAAAGGAAATAAAGAAAACATGTTGCATTTTAATATGTAATAACATGACTTATTTTTAGCTGTGTCATAGATTTCATTTAGAACAGAAATTATCTATTTGTAAAGATTATAGACTTTTTTTAAATTACGGGACAGCTCCCTTTGGTGGATCTTCAATATTGTTGAGTGTTCACAAGTTTTTCAAGTTTGTCTGTTTTATTAGACAGTAATAGGAATTTGTTTTTTTTAAAACAAGTAGGAAGGAAAGAATATCATTTTTAAGCCCTGTTTATCTTAAAGGATAAGGATTTAATTAGAACTTAGGTGAGCACTTCTGCCTGATTTTTATAATTTAAGTCTTCATGTTACTTGTCTCTTTTTTTCCATTATATGAATTTCAGGTATATCACTTAAACTTACGACTTTCAATGCATTTTTGTTCTATATGTGTATATCAAAGTAGCCTTCATTCAAAATGTCCTTTTTGAAGTTGGCCATAGTCATCAAAATCTGAATTATACTTGCATTATCAATTTTACATTTAAGTTATTTATTTATTTATTTATTTATTTATTTATTTATTTATTTTGAGAGGTTTTCACTATAGGG